TACTTCCTATCTCTGCTGATCAGTGGTGAGGAGCTGTGGTTGATTTGTGGAGGCAGCAATAATGAGAGCAGGCAGGAAGGGCACTTTGTGTCTCTCTGCAACACTTTAATCTGTCAGTGTCTTCATTTGATACAGAGAGTTGCTTCATGAATCGCAAAATGCAGAAACTTTTGGAATGGAAGTTGTATCTGCTAATCACAATGTGTGGTGTTGTGTTGGAAAAGACTAAAAGTGAACAGTTCTGTGCTAAAATACAACCCAGATAATCCAAGGGGAGTGTCAAGAAGTGGCACATGTTCCGTCTCAGAAGTGCCTTTGTTGTGGGACACCTTTCCAATACCAGTCTAGTTCACTGGAGGGATAAAGTCTAGCACAGCGGGTTTGCTGAAGATATAGTGCCAAATTAATTGATGATGTAAAAGGGCAACATTCCTTTGCTGCTATTCTTGAGTTGTACGAGCCATAAAATCAGGCCAAACAAATTAAATAGCCTTGTAAATGATGTAAAATTAGCTCTAACCTCATCTCCTGCACCAATAATAAACGTAAGACTCTGGAAGCATAGATCATGTGTCTGTATTGTGGTTGATAGCAGCTTCAATCTAGACCAGTTCATATAAATTACTGGCTTTATCTGATTTTGTGGCCATGAAAAGCATAACACTTGTGTTACAGTGAAATTTGGGATTTAAAGCTGCAGTCAGGGTTGGGGCTTTCCACAAGTAGCCAGTGCAGGCCTCTAGTAGAAAGTCGTGCCTTAGTCCAGCAGCAGCTAAAACCTTCCTTTTGACTCCCCTCCAACCTCGGGGCATGTCTCATTAGCAGATTAAGTCCAGAGTTAAATGAGTCCTCTGGGAGCAGAGGATGCAGCATCTCCTGAGCCTGCCACTCCAGCTGAAATCATTTTCCTAAGGCCAGATAAGGAGTTCGCTGACTTGCCAGAGGGGAGAAGATCTAGAGATAAGATTTGTTTTGCAAAATCCGCTCATGAATAAATCCTGGGAAAATCTGCACTAAGCTGTGATGTCACAGCCCTCGCCTGCTTTAAAGTTAATTAAGAGGAGGGCGTGTTAAGTTCCTCTGTCATCCTAAATCTCTTCTCTGGTGTGTCCGGTGGTAGGAAGACTCCTGCCCCGCTGCTGCCCGGGCTCTCAGCAGCCTGGAGCAGAGGCGATTGGTTTAACATTCCACCTGCCTCCCTGACTGCCAACACTGGGGTCACCCAGAGGTAAGCACAGGGCAGGAACCCCCAGGAGCAGGCCTGCCACAGCGGGGATTAACCGCCTCACTGGGCTCTTGCCCTCGACAATTTTCTGGTCAGTAACTTTTTGAAAGGAGAGCGTGTCTAGTGCAGGAGGGAGGGGCGGGCAGGAGAGGATGACGAGAGATGAAGGGGGAGAAGAAGCAGGGGCTAGATGCTTTCCAGGACGGAAAACTGTCTGTCCAAGAACTTCTCCAAAACACAAATTAAATATTCCTCTGTCCACCATTAAATTACCGTGAATGGGTGGCTGTGCGACATCCTGACAGGCTGTGTAATGAGGATCACCGTGTTTCTTTTCTCCTTTATTCCTCTGCATTTTCCTCTGCCCCAGACAGGAACTTCTGTGTCTGTAAGAGTCATTCACTCCAGGACTTAGCCTCCAGTTGGGACACACTTATTGCCTATATAGAATTAAACTTAAAAAGGAAAGGGAACACAGACCAGACTCTGCAACCCGTGTCTACATTTTGAAAATTGTGCTTCCTAATAAAATGGACCATGCAGATCTAGATTCTTTTCAAATGTGGAGCCCTCAAACCCTAACGAGGGCAGGATAAAGCTAAATAATGCCTTTCTTGACGTTGACAGATCAAAAAATAAAATGAGAATTCCTTACACGCTTGCATGTAAAGGGAAGTGCCAACTGCCCAGCTTTAGGGCTAACTGCAGCTCATGGGGTATCAGCAAGACACAGGCCCAGGCCCACAATCATTCATCAGCTCAAGTGTGAGCAGAAGTTGTTGTTCAGGAGCATTGAGAACATGCACGATTATCCCTGACTCTTAAGCTGTCTGTTTGAATGGGTTAGTGAGAATGCTACAAGTAACACAACCTTCTGAGTGCCAAACAGCAAATTGCCAAATTGCGGATTCTGCAGGAGGAGGTGAAGTCAGGAGAGCAGAGGACTGATGAGTAGGTCTGTAGAAAATCTCAGGAGGCAATAGTAGAATAAGGACCTAGAAAAACATTGGGGAAACTGCTGCAAACAAGAAGAGAAAGAAGGATTGCCTACACAGAAACAATAAGCCAAAGCCCTTTGCAAAGACAGAGTTCAGGAGGAACAGAAGCCTCAACTATGAGGCTAATGCAGCAGCTAAAAGTCTTGTCTCTGTAAGATCTGATATCCTAGGAGGCCAGAGGGAAGACCGTGCCAATTTAATTTGGCCAGATGTAAAACAGAAATTGAAAGTCTCATATGATCTTGTAGGAGCAGTCAAGCTTGAATTTGGACCAAAAGCAAGTTGTATTGAGTTTTGAGTTTTATCCATCTGTAAAAAGTAGCAGAAATGACAGCAGGAAACCTCCCTTCCCACTGTGTCGTTAGGGATCTTTCACCTCTCATGAAAGAATGGCCTTTTATTTACTGCTTTTCTCTTACGCAGGCTGAAGCCTTCACCTGAGTGTGAACAGTATCAAGCACGGGAAAACTTCCCATGGAAAAAAATCTGTAGTGAAGTTAATGCTGTCAGCAGGATAACCAGCAAATTCTGGCTTCCCCAGATGGCCCAGATTTTAATGGGGTCACCTTGCAAGACTTGCCTGTAGGATATTAACGGTCCCAAAGTAACTGTTGGGGCATAAAAAATGTTATGTCCAAGAGTTGCATCAGAGACAGGTGTTCCTTTGACAGGTCCTCCTTTGCTTAACTATTCTTCCATGTATATTTCCTGACATTCAATGCATCAGTGGCAACTCTTGGGAATAGGAGGCTATATGGATGTTTGAAACTGATTATAGTGAAGAATGAGTGATCTACTTTTTATTTTGCAATAGCAGTGTGAAACCCTAGAGTGCTAGGTACGTGAGCTCAGTTTCTTGCCTTACTCCTCTTGTCTGACACCTTATTTCTCTTTCTCTCCTCTTCCTCTCCTACCTTCCATCACGCTTCAACTTGTCAGTTAATTTTTCAGTGTCTGCATTTGACTGATCCCATCCTGCTAAGAGCCTGAAGTTCACACTGATGCAAACTCTGTGGGCATCAGACTTGATGCCTACGGCTGACATTTTGTAGTGTTTTCTTCTCCCCTTTCCACAGAGATGTAGGTTGTGAAAGAGAGAGCAAGTCAGTGTGTATGCTTATAGTTCAGCAGTATTTTGTAAATATTTCCTGAAAGCTTGTGAAATTTCTCACATGTTCTTGATTTCCATTCAAGTCTGCAGAGTAGGCATAAGAAATCTCACCCCGTCTAGCTCCAAGTTCAGAAGTGAGTCAATAGCCATCAGTTTTACAAGTTTTGTGCAGATGCCAAAGCCTGATGGCCCAGGGTGATAACGCTGAGACTTTCGAAGACAGGCCAATACATGAGGTACATTTTTAGCCGTTTGCTTTCTTACAGTTTTTAAGACTGGTCACAGCTTTTTCCTTGAAAATTACTTCCCCTGAGATGAGATTTCCCATGAAATGGCTCTGGTGTATTTATACATCTTCTGATGTTTCTGGTTAACGGACTCATTAGTCTTTTGGTGATTTTGAGAATGTAAGTCTATCAGTCTGTGTGGGTTTGTGTTCACAGATGTGCCAGTGACTTATAAATGGGATTAATTGTAAATTTAACTCATTTAGGAAATGGTTGAGGATCCAGGTACTTCTGCATTGCCTTGCTTAGTCGCACTGGAAGAGCTCTTTGACCCTGCCAGAGATTAGTTTAAGTACCAGTTATGAGATAAGCTTAACTGGTCCTTAAAAATAAGCATGTTAAAGCTCTCTGCAAGAGATTTGTTGTGGGGAGGGAATACCACAGGTCTTAAATTTTTATGTTTATCTTGCTGTTACTAAGTTAATTGTGTGATATAATTTAGACTTTTTTTTTTACTGTTCTTTCAACTTTGAAAGACAGTAATGGAAGCACTGTCTCATACTTGAGACTAATAGTGTTGTTTCACTAGGAAAAATCATACTGAATAAAGCCCCACAATGAAAGTTAACGAACCTGGTAACTTTTCAAGTTATTTCAATTTCTGACCTCCACGATGGTGTAGAAATACAGATAGGGTTGTGCTGGTTATGTCTTCATTATATGTAAAGTCCATGCTATATGAGTTGAATGTTTTGTTTCCACCAACATTTAGAATTGTTCTTTGTACAAGAAGTATTGTAGCATTTTTACTGTGTTAAATGGGAGTGGCAAGAGAAACCTTCCATATATTACTTGTAAAATAAATTCATGCTTGAAATTTCTCACTTTAAATGTCTGTATTAGCATGAAGCTCTTGTTTGAAATGCACCTAGGACATCAGCCTGTGAACAGCATAGCAAATTGTGGTACATGATATGCTGAAAAAATAGGTTTTACTGCAGAGCAGATACTATCTCCAAATGTAGAATGAGAAGTAGGTAGCGTACCAGGAAGGTCTGTGATTTTAGAATTAATTTATCATTCTGTGTGTGTATATAGCAAAAATGGTGAGAGATTTGAAATTTCATGATACAGAAATTCGCCAGGTGTTTCATGTATTTGTCATGTTAGGCTAAAGGTCTGATTTTCCGTGTTAGCTATTGTGTTGCTTGTAAAGAACCTGTAAGCAATCAGGAGTGGGATACAGCTACCACCATGATACTCGTCCCATCCCCATGTAACCAAAAATCATCGTTAGGCTTAAATGAAACAATGCGACAGGGCTGGCAGTGAAAACACATCAAAGATGTTCATGAAATTGTTGAAGTTAGAAGCATGTTTTAATTATTTTAGATTTGAAGCAGAAGCAGTTTGGCTCTAACAAAAGTTTCTTCTTGCAGATCATCCTGTGGGGTCGAACTGAGAAATGCCTGAAGGAGACCACAGAGGAAATCAGAATGATGGGGACAGAATGCCATTATTTCATTTGTGATGTAGGAAACCGAGAGGAGGTCTATCGGCAAGCCAAAGCGGTGCGGGAGAAGGTGAGTGTCCGTGGGCGGAGTTTAGGAACGACTCGTATTTGATGAGGAAAAAATATATTGGCAAATTGGGAAAAAGGGTGACCATGCAGGTTATGTTGTACAAATTCTAGCTACCTGTTTTAAGTGATCCAGAAGGATTGCAAGGCAAGAATGTCAAAAGCTCTGAAAATAAAAATGTATTTAGGCAATAATGGATATTCAGACATAATGGTGACTACTTATTCGTAAGCAGAGATACTAGTTGTAATAAGTAATTTGCTTTTTTGCAGGTGGGTGATATCACTATCCTGGTGAACAATGCTGCTGTGGTCCATGGTAAGAGCCTGATGGACAGTGATGACGATGCACTGCTCAAATCACAACATATAAACACCCTGGGACAGTTCTGGGTAAGATAAGCCCTTGTGTCACGTGTATTCAGGATGGGGAATGGGAGTGACAGATTACAGCCAGTAAATACTTGGCTGCTACTAGGTCTTTCTAAATGATGCTTGGTAAAATCAGTCTGACATGAAAAGGGGACAGAAAAAACAATGTGAGGAGTCTAAAAAAAATAAAATTTTCCAGTAGTAACACAGTATTTGATGCTCTTGTACCCCCATTCTGTGATTTCCAGTAAAACATTTAATTTCTTTTGAGCAAGTCTGAGCTCACAGAGGATAGTTTTCTGTGATGGGTATGGAATGTCAGAGGAGCATGAGACATTGCTCAGGGAAGTTAACTAGTGTGAAGCTCTTTCCATTTTGAATTAGATAATAGTAATAAAAAAAAAGCTTGTGATTTCATCACATTGTTGAAGACTTCATCCTCTACATACAAAGCATTCTGTTCATGGCCTTCATCTGTGGGTGCTGCTTACTTATGTGCTAGGAAAGATTTTGTTTTGTTTCTGTGCAAACTTTGCCTGTTTAGAATCTTTCAGAAAATGACAAAGCAACGAGGTACTCTCCCACTCCTTTCCTAGAATAATGAACAACACTGTTTGGCTTGCTGTCTCTGTGTCACCTTGGTTTTTTTCAGTAACTATTATTTTTGTTCTATCTCTGCTGAGCAAACCTTTTTTCTTTCTTTTTCAGACCACCAAAGCATTTCTGCCAAGGATGCTGGAGTTGCAGAATGGCCACATTGTTTGCCTGAACTCTGTCCTGGCCTTGTCGGCCATCCCTGGAGCCATTGACTACTGCACCTCCAAAGCCTCGTCCTTCGCCTTCATGGAGAGCCTGACCCTGGGGCTGCTGGACTGCCCGGGAGTGAATGCCACAACAGTCCTGCCCTTCCACACCAGCACAGAGATGTTTCAGGGCATGAGAATCAGGTCAGTCCAGGGGAACTAGAATAAAGCATCTCATTTTAAATGAATCATCAGAATACACTCCTAATTAATGCTTCATTTAGTTAAGAGAATTTGATGTCTCATTTGGCTGCCTGGGAACAGAGGGTCACTCTAGGCCAGCTGGGACTCATCAGACTGGTTCCCTCGGTTTGCTGGCGTATTCATACAGCCTGCCTGGACTCAGAGAGATGTTTGCTTCTTCAGAGAAAACTGAAAGCTATTTTTCCCTGAGTGTGTTTGGGCCATATGCGGCCACCAAAGAGGGAGGGGAGGCAATCTGAAAATTGGGGTCATTCAGAAGGAGCAGTCTATGAATTGCTTGAGAATTAACAGTACAGGCTCCTTCTTTATTCGTTGAAATACTTGTATCTTTCCCACTGAAAGGAATGGCAGAAGTAAGGCTATCAGTACCTCCTTTTTACATCTCTCTAAGAGAATAAGCTAAATTCAAAGACTAACAGCTGACCAAATTAATCTTTTACAATGGACAAAGTAACATACTAATATAGTTTGTGTTGTCTTATTCAAGAAAATTTGTGGTGTCAAACTATTGCAGGAGCTGGGAAAAGCCTTATGTTTGATATTAAAAGCAATGGGGGAAATATTTGTCTTTCACCTGTCAAGAATTTGAATCAATCAAAAAGCAACTGAGAGGAGGAGGAAAAACACCAACACTGAATAGACAGCATTTTGCTATGGGCTTGCATACAGTTTAAGAAAATCCGTGAATCAAGATTCTGAACACACTCTGCCACTTCACCCTAAAGGCACCAACGTGTACATTCTTAATCATTTAACTAACTGGTTGGAACTGGGCTTTCTGCTTTCCAGCTTCTGTGTCTGGAACTGGAACTTTCTGCTCCTTCCAGCCCGCTTTGGGGCATGTTTGAATGCCAGTAACCGGTGATAGCTTAGTGAGTAACAGGACTTGGACAGTGATATCTTAAAGAAGGAGTTTGGGTAACAAATAATTATTTTATTTTTTACTTTTATTCATTCAGGTTCCCTAATCTTTTTCCTCCTCTCAAGCCAGAGACAGTGGCTAGGAGGACAGTAGAAGCTGTTCAGATGAATCAAGCCTTCCTGCTCCTTCCATGGACAATGCATGTTCTTGTCATCTTAAAAAGGTAACTATTTCCTTAGCCCAGCAATAGCCTGGCCAGCTAGGCAAGACTGGCTTACAGCCCTCTGTCCAGTTTGACTGTAACCCAGTATCCAGGATCAGACAGAAAACTTTCTGAGATTCCCTTCGTGGATGTTTTCCCTGCGTATAACCCCTTTATGAAACCAGTTTCACTCCCGAAATTTGGATTCCTGAAATCTGAACTGGTATTTGTATCTAGGAGATTTCTTAACATTTAACATATGCATGTAGTTGATTTTGATTTAGTAAGCTACTCTTTGGACTCCAGGCTTTATATTGTAAAGGATTTATGTACAATAAGTTATGTACATCACAGCTGTATTTAGAGAGCATTGCTTGTGTTAAAGCAATGAAACTATTAAAAAAATATTTTTCTCTATGATTAGGACAAGAACTTTAAAGTCCCTAAGGAAAGAAAGTCATAACTTCATATCCTGAAACAACTAAAGAGAAAGGACATTTAAAATTGTGTTTCCATGAGAGTTTGCACTAAAGCCTTTGGAAAACCTACTTCAGTCAGGAACTGAAATAAGGCCATGAGATTTCTGTGGAAAATAATGACAATATTGCATTTCAAACAAGAAAAAATAACTCACAATAAGTGCTTTGCTCTGAATGTAAAACTTGGGTTTCTCTTAAAAGTTCCCAGAAATTCTACAGGCTGAAAAAGGGCTATTCTCCTCCTTTCTTGTAAGAATTAATCATTTATTTTCCATTACAGTAGCTCTCAGGAAATTAGATCTATAGCCACACCGTATGATAAGGCACAAGTAGATGGCAAGTTAACCAGAGAAGTTGGTTTAAATTCGTGTATTTCTGAGTGCAAGATTCTGCACAGTATTTGGGAGGAATAAAACAAGATGGTATCTTCCAAGTTACAGTTTTCTCAAACGTTTTTAGATAAATATTTCTGTATAGAAAGAGTGACTTGATATAACTTTCTCCTTTGAGGCCTACTGGATACTGACACACAGACAGGATACTGACATGTTTTGTCTGTGCACTCTCACTAGCTGACTTTTGACAATGTATATACTATGTCTGTGTGTACATAAACACATATTTACACATCCTCTTATTAGAATAGACTAAGAGGTTTGTCTGCTCTGTTTATTTTCTTTCTGCTTCTCCTGCAGCATTCTCCCTCAGGCAGCACTTGAAGAAATCCACAAGTTTTCTGGGAGCTACACCTGCATGAACACTTTTAAAGGACGAACATAGACTTGATGGTGAAAGGACTATTCTTCAGTGAAGCCAACAGAAGCCTGAAAACCCTGACAAGACCGTGAATCAGCAGTCTTGGCTTTTAGCCTGTTCATGTGACTTGTGCTGCTCTGAGGCAACACATTTCTTGCAGGTCATATCCATAGTAACAGGACCTTTGCACAGGATTGAATGACTAGACTATGGACCCTTGGAAAGAAAAACAAAAAGTGTGAAATGTTTATATGATGTTTAATTCTTTAGAGTTCAATTGTTAAATCTACTCATAGTTTTAAGATGTAATTTTTGTTTGGAAAGTATCTGTAGGCTGTCTCAGCTGAGAGGCAGCACATCACACCCCATACTTCATCCCCTCTCTCCAGAGGAACTGCGATTACAAACTGCTACTGGTTTCATTTCAGCTTTTTGAATGGGGAACTTAAAAAATACTTCGAAGAACTGTAAGTTATGGACGTGTAATGGAAGCTTCCTTCCCTTCCTTCACTTTACATCCGTTGATGAAGCTGTTCCCAACTCCCATCAGAGAAGGTGCAAACCATGGAGCAATGTGTTCTTTGATAAAGGCCTCCCAGGACTGTCTCGAAGGGCTGTGCTGGGCCCAGGAAAGCTCTCTGTCTCACGTGTGAAGGCTGGAGAGCAATGCTCAGTCAGAAGAGTGGACAGTTTGAATAGTGGAAGATTCTTTCTGTCACTGAATTCATATATGAAATTTAATTGTCTTTCTGAATATTTTTGTTCATTTATGATAAAATATATATATATTTTTAGCATTAATCCCAGATTGCCACGCATGTAGGCAGCATCACACCCGGGATGAACTAAATCTAGAACTAAAAACTAGAACCTGCTTGTACAACCGTACATACACTGACAATCCATGCAGACAAAAATCCATTGTATCAATCTGCAGAGTGAAGCAAGTGGAATAATGGTCTAAAAACAGAAGAGACAGTACTGTAGGGCTCATGAAATGTGAAGTTTGGAAGCACAGTTAGCAAAGACCTGATTAAATGCACGTTGAATTCAACTGGGCATATACCCATTGTTTTTCAGGGGCATTGAATCAGGCACTGATCAGCCAAAAGTGATAAATACTGCTTGGACTGAAACGCCAGAAGCAGCTAGACATTATTTATTTCTGTAATGATTTATTCTCTTTGACAGCCTAGTAAGAGCAACACTACATTCCTATGCCAGATGCAGTGTGCAGCACTAGGCATAGTAATGTAGTTGAAACATACTGGAATGCTACTAAAAGAGGAATTAATATAATTGCAATACAGGAAAGTAGCAAACTTAACTAGAGAACACCTGAATGAAGCGCTTCAAGGAAGGTGGTTGAAGTAAAGGAGTGAATTTAGGGGTCCTGACTTGAATTTTGAGCTTTTCCATAGATGTCCTGTGTGACCTGAGGCAAGCTGCATAATTTCAAGGTGGGCCCTTACCCGTAAAACAGATATTTCTTGTGTTTCCCTACCTCAAAAGTTCTGACTACCTAAATGTTTGTCAAAAGCTCAGCAAATTCAAATGGACGATGCTATAAAAAGGTATTTGTTCATAAACCAAGAACCAAGAGGTTCTATAAAAAAACTTAGAAGACGAAAAACCCCATATGGTGAAATATATGACTTCCTAAAGGAGCTTTTAGGAAAGCTTTTCGTTACAGCAGAAAAGCTGTGAGCTGTATTTGAAATACTCCTCTGGTTCCGCCATGTAGACCAGCTACTTAAGTGCAATGATGTGAATGTTAAAATCTGAAGGTCTGAACCTCACTGCAGATCAGTGGATATCTCTCTTCTTGAGCAGTTCAAGAGGAAGATACTGCCCCAGGTGCCATTGACACAAGCCCCTCTGCCTGGGTGGGTCTCCTGTCTGGGTCAGTGCTTTCCTTCCGAGTGCAGGACACAGAAGCTGTAGCTCTGTGCCAGCTTTGAAAAGGTTTCTTACAGTTTTGTTTTGAATTCCTAGATGTCTGAGGCTCTGTGGAGAGGATGAAAAGAAACTTTGATCTCTGTGATTTTGACACCCACCCTAATAGATGCTTTCAGCTTCATTTTTTGTCCATTTTTTTGAGAAGAAACCCAGTTCATTGAAAATACAAGTGCAATGAGGGAGGAACTCTTCCAGGATCTGCCAGGAATACTGAAGGTACCATATTTATCAAGAGATGTTGGGAGGGGAAGGGATGGTTATACATACCTCCCCTTATGCACTTCAGTACTTGCTAGTTTCTTATTAACCACCGTCAGACATGCCAGGCTTGTAGATGCAAGAGCAAACAGAATTGGTGAAAAGAGGGCACCCTGCAGTGTGCCCCCTAAGTTAAACCTTTATGTTAAGATTCTATTCCTTGATGGCATCTTAATGCAAAAGTGGGGGGAAAAACTAGGACACATGGTGAAATTAACTCTTGCTCATCCCCAAATCCTCTCCCTCAGATGAATCTGCCCTTTTCCTGCATTGCACAGAAGGTATTCCCTCTCTTCAGACGTTGTCTTACATACTAAGTGCTGTTGATTTCTTTCTAATCAATATAAACAAGTCAGAATTGTTGCTGAGACTCTCCTCCTCTCCCTCTTGATACACACACACACAAACTTCCCTCTCTCTTCCCTCAGGGTCTCTGAGCGGACAACAGGTCAAATAGCAGTCACAGTGGGGGAGAGGTATGCAGCAAACAGAAAATAATGAGGAAAACATTGACTTTGCTTTTCAGATAGTAAGGAAGAGTTGAGTAACAGTTTCTTCTCTGGTGAGTGTTGCGAGATAGAATGCTCTCCGGCCAGTGAGCTACCCGCAGGTTTGGATGGATACATTTGAATATTTATTTTTTTTTTAATAGAAAGGCTCCTTTGGAATGCCTGCTGAGGTCTACTGTCCCTTTTCACATAAGGTTAGTATTGGGTAATCTTGAAGTGCTGCAAATGTGGGCAAGCTTTGTTGAAGCCTAAGGCCTTCTCAAAGGAATTTCCGCCCTTTGACTTATTTTAATTTTAGTTTTCCCTGCTCTCTCCACTGCCTCCTGCTTTCCACTGCACAATTATTTTTTTTTCCTTCTGTTTTCCTATGTCATTACTGCACTTTTCAGTGCCACCATCTTGAAGCCAGATGTCATACAAAGAGTCTGGAATAAATCTAAATCAGGGTATATATTTATTATCCTGCTGGAGGAATCTAGGTGAAGCTGTAGGAGGAACAGGTCACAGCAATTTCATGTGAAATTAGCTAAGCTCTTTCAGTTTTACTTGCTCTGATCTTTGAAGAAGAAGAAGACTCCTTACTGTGTTTTTTTTTGTACAGGAGATCACTACTGTTTCAAAATTGGAAAGATAGAGAAACGTTAGCCACTTTGGGTCATATGTTCTCCTGTCATAAAAAGACCCTACTTAAATGGGAGGATTTTTCAATTCCAGGTGTTTTCAGAGGCTGGTGTTTGTACAAAGTAATACTCAGAATTAGCAAGGCAGGGCAGGGAGAGGAGGAGTCCTTTGTAAGTAAATCTAGTTCCTCGTGTTCAATATCTGATTCTGTATTTTGTTTTTCATGAGGAAAAAAAAAAATCATGTTAGTTTGTGCGCCCTTGGTAAACTTCAAAAAGGTCCTTCCAGGTGTATCCCTGCTGATGCCGTGTTTTTAGCAGGATGAAGGAGTGAACCCTGAAAGTGAGAACTCTACCCTACCTACTCATCTGTTGTTCTGCTGAGGTTAAAAAGCGACAGAGTCCATGCCTATAGCTCTTCTAGAACTTCACAGAAAGTGCCTGGGCAAGTGTTTCTGATGTTTGCAAAGAGAAACTTGTTGTACTTTTATGTAATGTGTTAATTAGTGTGGGTGGATATGATCAGATCTAGTCTTGCAAGCCTTTCAGACAACTCCCTGAACACTCCCACCTTCAGATATTAACAGATAGCACTGCACTTGCCAAATCTCATAAAAACCCAGTAACAGACTTAATGCAGGCAGAGCATAAGTGGGTGCATTTATTTCGCAGAGCACACATCTGTTTGTAGCAGACATTGATTTGGCCCACTGTTTTCCTCTAGCTGAAATGCAACTGTTGAGACAAGAATACAGGATGACCTTAGATCACCTATTTTGTTTTCATTTCTTCATGTGGCTTTAATAAACTTAATCTGGGTGACAGCCACTTTCTTGATAGCCTTTGTTCATAAGTTTGGGGGTGAACCAAGATTATGCCAAATGTAATCTTTTGCATTTTTTGCCAAACAACTAACAGCCCTGAGAATCAGAATATTCTGCACTGTCTTTGTAGCTTTCACCCCCCCGGTGCTAAGATCCTTCAACAGGATAGATATTTCTTCTCAGCCTGCTGGAGTTTGAAGATGGAGCGAAACCTGTCGGTTACATTCTCTAGTGAACAGAATCCTCTTTGTCAGAGTGCTTTTCTGAAGGAGATTTCGACATGTGAATAGTGGCAGACACCTTGAGGGGAGCATCAAGGCATCCTTGAGGGGAGTCAGATCAGCAAGGTAATGTGTTAGGGAGAGACCAGACTCTCCTTTGATGGGGCTGAGGTACCCCAGCCTGTAGAGGTGGAAGACACAGGACACAACTTGAATGTTGCTAGTACCATAGAAGGTAGTGAGTTCCCCCTGCTCCTGTCCTCTTTTCTTGAAACATAACATCCTCTTCTGTTTCTGTAACAGATCCCTCAAGTGGATGTTTCAGCAGAAACACGTACTGATCCGGCCTGTGTGCACTGGATACAATTGAAAAGAATAGACTTCTGAGGAGACATTTTATAGCTTCACAGCTTCCCAAACCAAGAGTCCAAACCTATTAGTTCCTTCTGCTCACCTTTGCTATGGGCATTATGAGATACTAACACGGGAAAAAAATCAAGGCAAGTGTATATGCTAATTTTTCTGCATAAAGCTAGAAAGAACAGTTCCTTTTTAAATGACGGAAGAAAGCAGTCTAATTTGAGCTTGAGAGGGACTGAAGAGTAAGTATATGAGAAATGTGAACATAAGAAATTCCACCTAAACATGAGGAGGAACTTCTTTACTTTGAGGGTGGCAGAGCCGTGGAACAGGCTGCCCAGGGAGGTGGTGGAGTCTGTGTCTCTGGAGACATTCAAAACCCCCCTGGACACGTTCCTGTGCAACCTGCTCTGGGTGGACCTGCTTTGGCAGGGGGTTGGACTGGATGATCTCCAGAGGTCCCTTCCAACCCCATGTCATTCTGTGAGTCTGTGAAAACAAAACAGAGGATAGATGCAACTTTAGGGGGAGTGTAGTGGCCCTAAACAGACAGAGGTGAGACAGCACATTATATTCAAGTTATATAATAACAGAGGCATGTGATTTCCATCCAAAGTCTTTGTAGAAGAAGCAGCATGTTGTTACTCCTGCTAATTCCTATGGGTCACCATGCCCTAAAAACCAGTTCATTAAATTTGTAGTTTGCTGGGTCAGAACACCCCAATACGCCAGTTATTGTTTGCTGTCTCTTGTTTTTTTGAGGCAGGGAAAACAACCCATATATGTAAAAAAAGGAAGGGTTAGTTTGACTCACTTTTTCCTAGCCAGCTGCAAAGGTTATCCATCATGCCTGGGTATTACAAGGACATGTGGTTCTCTAGCTTGTGTTAGTAATGCTGACCTAGTGCTACTAGGTAGATGGGGTCAGTTTCCTGTTTGTTTCTTACACAAAACTATTTTTTTTAATTTGAATTTTACTGATCTGAAAGAGTTGCCTCTGTATTGTACAGGCTTTCACAGACAGGCATCCTAGGCATGAAATTTCCTGTCTATGTTAATGAAATCAGCATGAAACTAATAGAAAGTGAAAAGTTACTGTTTGACATCTTCCCCAAGCATCTTCTTCCCCAGGCAATGTGGAATTAATGTAGAGGAACAGTGTTGGAATATCAATGCCTTAAATCTAGTAATCTCTGAAGCCTGCTTCAGAGATTCATATAGGCTTCTGTATGAAAATGACCCTGGCTTCTAAAATTGACTTCCTACGTGCTTTCTGAGGCAGTTTGCCATAGAGATTGGTCACCTGAGCAAATCACTATTACAGTGTGCTAGTACACAGGAAGACTGCACGGAAAGCCGAGGTACCTATAATCACTGCACAAATTGATTTAAAATTGTGGTGCCACAAGACACTTTAAAAAAAATAGATTAAAGAATGAGATGATACATGATAGCCAGTCCAAAACAAAGTACTGCAGTGAGGTCTGTAGTTGCCTTTCGGTGCCTGAGAGCAGCCGACATGACTCCCAGAAGTCCTGCCTCAGATTTGACCCCTGACTGGTTCCTTCCCTTGAACCACCATGTGCGAACACCGGGCATTGTGAGTGCATTAACTGAAAGGCTTCTTCCCTTTTTAGCATTAGGCACTTAGGACATAGCCACCAGCTGCTGCTCCTGCTTTGGGCATTGCTATTGATCTGATGAGTGTTCCCAGACGCTCTTCTGGCACATTACAGTAGTGGCATTAGCTGTAAGAAAAGGAGGGAAGCCATTGCTATCTTTTCCAGGGAAGTCAACTAGAGAGAGGGCTGAAATAAATGCAGGGCTGATAACGGTTTCTGGAATATTTTGGCTATATGAAAAATGCTGTCATATGGAATAAGGGTTTATTATAATAAGGGCTCATCTCAGAAGAATGTTAACAGAAGATGGAAATGGTCATAATGGGAAACAAGTGATACCCAAACACACAGTTCCTCTTCCTGGAGCCTGGTGGGAATGCTGATTTCATGCAGACATGCCATAGTGAAGTCAGTTCACTCGCATGGTCGTTATACCCCCTGCAACTTTGCCTATTACAAGTAATAGTGGAAGTGACAAGCTCATTGTCTCTGCTCTCTCAACTGTTGAATGTAGAAAAAGAAGTGCTTTTAAAAAAAGGTATCTATCGATTAGAGAACAAAGCAATTCTTTGGTTCAGTGTCAGCCTGATATAATGGAGAAGACTCTCTCAGGTACCAAAAGAGAAGCCACAGCATCTCCTAGGTAATTCCTTGAGGTCTCAGGCCATATTCCCCCTTTTTAGTAATAAATAAACTGGGAAGAAAATCATTGACTCAAAGCAGCAATAGGACTAAACATGATCACAAATCGGTTTGTGAGCTATTGCTTGGCTTTGTTTTCCCTAGCAATAAAATACCTTGTGGTCTCTTCTGGGCTCCCATCAGGGCTACAAATTCATGGAGCATACTTGCAGAGCTAGGCAATATTTTGTTCCTATTCTAAGGGCTACGTAAAAGACAGCGGAGAGACACCAAAAAGCAGTATTGTGTGTGCTTTGGTGCCTGAATAGTCTGTCACTTTCAATATTCTAGTATTCTGTGTTAGTAATCTGACATTTCTCAACTGTCTTTGTCTGCTATTGCAAAAAAAAACCCCTTCACCCACATCAATTATTATAATACTTTTGAACACTAAAACACATTCATCTTCTCTGTTGTCCTGTTGAGATAGCTGAGGTTTAACAAACATGTTGTTCAAGTGAAATATAGCCCTGAATTTCTTTAGGAGGGATCTGATGCCAACACAGAAAAATAATATAAAAAAAAATAAATTGTTGATGTCCTCCAGCAAAAGTTGCTACATATGTTAAAAAACAAAGAAATCAGGTACAAACAGCTATGATTAAGCATTCAATACAATAGCATGCTCTGCTTCCACCAATACAGGGTTATAGCATTGAGCCTTCTGACCTCATTTTGATAATTTTAAACACACAGAGTCAATGCATCTTCATTCCAGTTTTAAAAATAGGTTTCCTGATACATGTCCCCTCTGTTCAAAGAAATTACAAATTGTAAGTTTTCTTATGTAAAAACTCGGCTTGTCTTTTTTTTTTCTTTTTTTTTTTTTTTTTTTTTTTAAAACAATTTCCTCCAGATATGGCATAATGGGACCTGGTTACCTTAAAATAGCCAACTGATTCCTCCTCCCAACTCCTTCAGAGAAGGGGTGTTATTATCTCCAGTAATAAATGGAGGGGCAGGAGGAGCAAGGTGCGATT